CTCCTTTTGTGACTGAGGTGTAGTTAGCAGGAGCTGGAGGGCTCCACTTTCCTTTCACTCAGGGTTTACTTGGTCTTGGCATTCTCCTGACTTTGATGGCTACCTTCTAGAACCTGGGGAAGAGGCGTGTGTCTGAGCAGTATGTCTGGCACTGAAATACCACAAGAGCCCTAACCGTGCTGGGAGTGTTTGCCTGTTGACAGGATGGCCACAAATTCAGAAGCAACCGAGAGGCCCTTTGACAGGGATGTCATCTCCAATAGAACTTCAAAAGACAAAACAAAAATTTCCTCTTCCTCTATTAGTAATGGGCTGCAATATTTTTTCTGCTGGTGGTGGGGATTGAACCCAGGGCCTCAACAATGCTAGGCAAGCACTCTACCTCTGAACTACACCCCCAACCTTTCAAAAATTTTTATCTATCTATCTATCTATCTATCTATCTATCTATCTATCTATCTATCTATCTAGTTTTTGGAGGGAGGGTCTCATTAGGTTGCCCAAACTAGCTTCAAACTTGTGATCCTCCTGCCTCAGCCTCCCCAGTGGCTGAAAGTACAGGCATGTAGGCATGTGCCACCACATCTAGCTAGTCCTGACATTTTAATCATAAAATCATAGAATGTGAGTTGTTTTGGGTGATGGAGGTTGCTACACTGACAGGGAAATGGTGACTGTTACAATGTTTAAATGGTATTCGGATCATGTAAACATTTATTTCCATTTCCTACTCTTTTTTTTTAAGGTACTAGGGAGTGAACCCAGGTCCTTCTGCATGCAAGGCAAGCGTTCTAGCACTGTACTACATTCCCAGGCCTCCACCTTCTACTCTTGTCATGTCAGTGGCTGTATGACAATTCCTTCTACAGGTCAGCTTAGCTGCCACTGTCCCTACATGATTCTAGAGATGCCAGGGAAGTTCCAGACACCAAGAAGAGTCTGGTACTATGGTACTGAGCAGATCTGGGATTCCACAATTGACTTTGTCATGCCTAATGCTTCCCAACACAGCAAGGGTTCCTGCCACTCTGAGTGGGGTGGGGGGCTCAGCTCTGTCCCTGTAACCTTGCTAAGCCTCAAGGTCTCATTTAGTGCTCAGATAAGGCAGCTGCAGGAATGAATGGAACCTTCTTGATCCCTGACTCCTGTGCAGTTGTCAGGGCTGACAGAGTATGTCACACTCCCCAGTGGAAGAGCTACTAGACACGTGCAATGCTTCCTTATGTGGAGAGTTCTAGACAATCAACTCTTGCTCACCTTCATGAATTATAGAAACTCAGACTTTAGTAAAACTCACCTACTTTTAAGAAGGTGTGATAAAATTATTTAGATCCACTTGGAAACCCATTATAAGGTGTACTTGCATTTTAAAAATTATTATTTTCCTGATTATAAAAATAATGTATGCTCAGTGCAAAGAATTAAGAAAATATAAAGAGATACATAGAAATAAAATTTCCCAGGATCTTACTTCTCAGAAATAACTATTATTAGCATTTAATGTGCCACCTTTTTTCTGTGAACAACCATTTATAAAATTACTTGGTACTTTAGCGACAATTTTGCATCTCCTTTTTTTCACTTTATACAACAAGAGCATTCCCCTATGTCACCATTTAATCATCAAAAACACCATTTTGGTGACTACCTAGTGTTTCATTGTCTAGTTACATCGCACCAGAATTTGTGTAGCCAATCTCTATTTGCAGGCATCCAAGTAGCTCCCTATCTCCCATGCTTATATGATGCAGTGGTAAAGATTCTTGTCCAGGAATCTTTGCCTGAGTTTCTGATAATTTCCTCAGAAGAAATTCTAAGAAGAGAAATGATGGAGTCTCAAGTCTGCCATGTGCCACCTCTCTCTCAAAGGATGCTCAGAAAGAGAGTGAGTAGCGTTTGCTGGTCATGAGGCCCCCTAAAGGCTTGGACCAGAGACTCTTTATTCATGCTGAGAGAGAAGTGAAGGGGCCTGAGTCTCCCCATGCAGTTCCCACCTTGTCACCTGAGCCTGCCCCATGCAAAGCCAAGCTCCCCCACTCTCCGTAGGAATCGTTTCACAATTAACTTAGATACTAAAGCATATTTAATTAACCATGGAAACTCTCCCAACCATCTGCCTCTGTTTTTCTTTTGAGGAAGATAGCACAACTTTTTTTCTCTGGGCTCCTTCTTTTGAGGATGGAGATCATTTCCAGCACTTTGGTTTTCATATGCATGGGGCAAGGGCCCTTGCTTCCATGGGCAGCACCTCAGAGAGGCAGAGAGACAGGCAGAAGGCAGGTAGGATCAGAAGTCACACAAGCCCTGGGCTCTGTCTTGTACAGCTGGCCAGAGCCCTTGGCTAGGGCAGGCCAGGCCAGGCAATGCTCAGTGCCCACCAACCACAGTAAGGTCCATTCAAAGATTTAGTCTCTGCTTCTTGACTAATGGCTTAAAATTACAGAATGGAGCATTAGTGTAGGGAGGGACCTTAGAAAAAAAAGCCCAATAGTCTTATTTTGCAAGTGAGGAAACTGAGGCCTGGCAACTGTGAGCCCTGTCTTCTTTGTTGTATCCTCAAGGAGGAGGATATGGCTTTGACTTCAGCTGCAATCCACAATCAGGGGATTTAGACAGACTCCTAATGGCTGCAGTGGCCCACAGTGTTGGCGCTCTGGGTAAAAATACATTCCTAGCTCACATGTCACTGACACTCAAGCTAAGCTCCAGAGAGTCTGGAGGTCACGTGACAAGCCTATAGTCACCCAGCTGGTAAGTGAGTACAGGAGCTGAGATGCCAATGCCAAATGCTTTGACCTGGATTCCTAAGGCATCAAAATGCTCATTTCTATGATGTTCCTCAGAGGGCTCATGGAGGAAAGGGCCAATTGTTCAGTAGGCCAATTAGTTCTTGTGATATCACCTCCTCTAGGAAGTGATGGAACATCCTGGACCATCCTGGACCATCCTCTCAGGCTGAGCCAGGAAGGAGGACTGCTTCTTTGCTCCTCTATCACTCCCCCACTTCATTTCCTAAGGCTCTAAACTTTTCACAGTACCCCAAATACTAGCAAAGGCCTAGCTTCTAGTAGTCTTTAAATAATTGATATCAAATTGATGAGATCAACGTGGACATTGGTGTTTTTGCTTCAGCAGCCTCTGCTCCTTCACTCAGGGGTGAGTCTGAGATACTCTGGGGGTGGGTGTCATGTGTGTTTTGGGATAGTCCCTGAGGGCTGCCATGTGGACCCGTGCATGCTGCCAGACTAGCCATGTACTAGAGCTGACAGCAGGGATGGGCATATAACCCATGGATCCCGGCCTGGCCGAATTACCTTTAATAGATGTGCAGACAGGCCTGGGTAGGGGGTGTTCAACTGGGGACTTCTGCCACCAGTTAGCTTTTGGCTTTTGGCAAATCGTTTTTACCTCTGAGACTCATTTTCTCCTCTGTCAGATGAGGCAATTTGGTCCCTTCTATCCCTGATGTTTCGTGTCTTATGATTTTATTGATAATGACCCTTGGAGGGCCTAGAAGAGGCAGGTTTGGGACCAGAGCAAAAAGGTTAAGAGTCAGCTCCAGCAAGAGGTCAGGAAACTGGACTTGCTCACCAGGCTACAATGCCTCCTGAATATCAAAGACAGAAAATTGCAAAGCTCCCAAGAGCCCTGGATCTACTTTAATGTTCCTAGCCTGCTGAAAATCTTTCTTTTCAAGAAGTAAAAGATTTTCTCCCTAGGACTTGTCTTCAGTCATTTTCCATCCCTCTCCAGCTACTACAGGCTGCATTAAGTAAAGGTGAAAGAATCTATAGAGATAAATTAGGAATCCATAGCTGTTCCTCCAGAGCTGCATATATAAAACCCAAACCAGGTCTTGGTTCCAGTGAAATCAGATTCACCAAGAAAAGCCCTATTTGATGCTGGTGGAGCACTTGGCCCCATTCAACCCAGAGCCTCATGGCAGTACACTACATGCACACACCCCCCCACACACACACTGTCCCCTTGCCATACATGCTATGTTCCACAACTGATGCCCTGCAAACCACCTGAAATACTGTAAAATGAGGGTGGAAAACTTGTGTTTTTTCTATCAAGGTCTTGGCCCATCAAATGAAAAATCAATGGAGGAAGACGAAAGTAAAATGCAGCTTCATTCAGTAACTGTGAGGAGCAAGGAATAGGAAACGTTTTAGGCATTTATTTTTCAAAATCAAGACTGGGGAGCCAGTAATTCTAGTTAAATACAACCAGGATAAAAAAGGCACTTGGGTTCTATACTGTGGCCAGTTACTGGAGAGAGGCTTTGAGGTGCAGGGGAGGGAGAGGAAGACACTGTCAGAAAGAGGTGACTAGAAATAAGGAGAAATTAAAACTCAGAAAAATAGAGTGCACAGGAGTGACATACTCTTGTTCAAAGAAACACAACAATTCAGGAAAGAAAGAGAGACAGAGAGAGCTACAACACACAGCTGCACACACTGGCTGGAAGGGAGACAAGAGCCAGAGGGATGCAGAGGCCAGAGCCACAGCCACAGAAAAAGCCAGACAAGGATGTGAGTGAGAGACAGGCTGAGAAGAGCATAGCCAGGAACTCAGCTATTTGAAAACAACCCAACCATTCAGGGCTGATTTTTTAAAGAGACAAAACATTACCAGAATTACTTTTATATTTCAAAATTATTTTTTAATGTGTTTTCATTCCTGTCTAACTTTGAGAAGCGCAGGCCTTAAAAATCCATTTTCATCATTTACCATGTTAAGGATGTGTTGTTCACAGTCCGGGCAGGGAGCTAACACACCTCACACAGCTGCCTTTTAGGAGGAAGTCTTCATGGACCTTTCAAGTCTGTTGTGTTGTTAAAGCTGCAGACCTGCGTGGTCTCACCTCTCAGTGCAGCTAAATGGCCACAATCAGCTCAACCTGTCTTCACCTGGAGATAAAACTGTGTGTTCCGAGACCACCAGTTTGGAATGGGGAATGACTTAACAAGGGCCAGGGCTGACCATTCCACCCTGTTTGGTGACAGGGTTTGCTAAGCTGATGAGTCATGGAAATAGGATGGCAGTGAAAATAACATGTGCCAGGCACCTCACACCCGGTAACAGTTCAGTTCCCCAACCCTGCTGCCCACTCCCTCCTCTCCACTTCTGCCGTGGGAGAGCCTCACCCTCCACCACTCAGCTACCAATTTGTTGTGCTAAGCTTCTCTGTGGCTCCTATTCCAACGCCCCCTCTGTGTGTGTGTGTGTGTGTGTGTGTGTGTGTATGTGTAGCTAGTCTTCCCTTCCTCTGACTGCCTGTCACCAGTCACCACCTTTGGTTGTTACCTCTACTGTAGGTCTTGGCATGGCCTCCGAGAGCAAGCTTTCTCAAGCTAGCTGTTATTTGGGGCTGAGCACTGCTTTGTTGTGAATGACTGCCCTGTGCATTGTAGGATATTTAGTAGCATCCCCCACCTCCACTCACTATATGCCCTACCTCCCCACTGATGACTTACGAAACTGTCTCCAGTCGTTGCCAAATGTCCTCTGGCAGGTGAAATCATACGCAGGTGTTTCAGCCCTCAGAGAGGGTGTCTCGTAATTCTAGTCCCCAGGGCTAGAATGATGCCTGGAATAGAGAAGGCCCCTAGATTCTGTACAGGAAGCAGCCAGACTGACTGTGCCCATGGGTGGGCAGTTGGGAAGAGCTGAAGTCCCCTTTCTTTAAAATGTGGTCAGTCACCCACAGCCTTCTCTGCTCCCTTCCCCTGCTTTCAGTTACTCCAGACCCGAGGTTTAACTGGACTGAGCCTTTTTCCCAGAGCCAATTCAGGCTCTCAGAGTGAGTGGAGGGGCAAGAGGGGGACAAACGAAGCAGCGTTTCTGGCAGAGGCAGGTCCTTCCCAGTCTGTGGCTTGGAGAGGAGACACTTCCGGCCTCCCAGCCCTGGAGCAGACATACTGGAGGCCGTGGGGCACTTCCTCTTCTCATTGCCAGATGGCTGTGCACCTCCCTGCAACTCTCTCAGTGAGGAAGGCCTGAGCAAGGGCAGGAAAGAGGGGGAGCAGGAGGGCGCTCCACTGGGAACAAATGTATTATCCCAGCCTTCTTTGTCCCGATAGGACACGATGCCCCAAACCCTGGTGCACACGCCCTCCTTGAAGTCTTGCAAAGGCCCTGAGAAGTGGGTAGGAGGCCTAACCCATTTTGGTTTTGTTTTTTTTTTGCTGTTTTTTTGGTACCAGGGATCAAACTCAGGACCTTGTGCTTGCGAGGCAGGCGGCAGCACCACCGAGCTAAATCCCCGGCCCTGTTCTTCTTTGAGACAGGGTCTCGCTTTGTAATTCAGGCTGGCCCTGAACTCACTCTGTAGCCCAGGCTAGCCGGCACCACTATACCTGACCAAAAAACCCCCAAATTTTGCATGTTTTGTAAATTTTACCACAATAAATCTGTTATTTTAAAAACAGAATGGGGCCGGGCGTGGTGGTGCACGCCTGTAATCCCAGCACTCAGGAGGCAGAGGCAGGAGGATCCCCATGAGCTTGAGGCCAGCCTGTGATACCTAGTGAGTTCAAGACCAGCCTGAACTACATAGCAAGACCCTGACTCAAAAACCAAAACCAAAACTATAAACAAAACCAACCAACCAAACCCTAGGGCTTCACACATGCTAGGCAAGGACTCTACTACTGAACTACACTCCCAGTCAATTCATTCTTTTGAAGTGAGCAAATCACTATTTTATAATATATTCACAGAATTGTGCAACCATCACCACTACCCAGTTTTAGAATACTTTATCACTCCAAAAAGGAAGATTTTAATCACTCCCATTTCCCCCTCCAACCAGTCCCTGACCATTACAAATTTACTCTGTCTCTATGGATATGCCTATTCCAGACATTTCATAATGGACTCATACAATCTGTAGTCTTTCACGTCTGAATTCTTTCACTGAGCATAATGTTTTCATCTGTGTTGTAGTATGTATCAAGACTTTGTTCCTTGCCGGGCACACTTCATCCTTTTTATGGCCAAGTAGTATTTCTTTTTTTGAATTAAAAAAATTTTATTGGTACATTTTAGATATTCATAACGATAACATTCATCACAGGAAATTTGTACCTGCAATGGTATATCTTGCTTCTGCTTTTTTCCCATTCCCCTCCTCTTCTTCAACCCCTCTTCCCTTCCTTATTTATTTATTTATTTATTTATTTATTTATTTTGGTACTGGGGATTGAACTTGGGTCCTTGCGCTTGCCCAGCAGGTGATGAAACCACTGAGCTAAATCCCCAGCCCCTTCCCTTCCTTATTTACAAAAGTGTTGTTTCCATTTTTTCCTTTTATTCTCTCTTTTTCTTGTCTCTTCCTTCCTTTCTCTCTCCCCCCTCCCTTGTTCCCCTTCTCATTTGAACATTTTATTCCCATTTTCCAATATCTATTATACATTTTTGTCCCTATTTACACTTTTGGTTTCTCATACCAGAGAAACAATACAATATTTAGACATGTGTGTCCAATTTCTTTCACTTAAGAGTATGGTCTCAAGGTGCATCCGTTTAACTAGAAATGTCTCAAGCTTATCCTTCTTTGTGGCAGAGTAGTCCTCCATTTTATAAAAAAACCCCACACCTTCTTTACCCATTCATGGGTTGATGGGCATTTGGGCTGTTTCCAAGAAGTAGCTATTACAAACTGCCACTATAAACAAGTAATATTTCATTGCAGGACATACAATGTTTGGTTTAACCACTTATCTGTTGCTGAACATTTGGGTTATTTCTACCTTTTAGAAACTATGAATAATGTTGCTATGATCACTCATGTACAAGTTTTTATGTTGACAGATTTTTAGTTCTCTCAGGTGTAGACCTAGAAGTAGCTTTGCTGGATTGTACGTAATTCAATGTTTGAACTTTTCAGGAAACAGCAGATTGTTCTCCATAGAAGCTGCACCATTTGCAATCTCACCAGAAGTGTAAGAAGGTTCCAGTTTTTCCTTCTCCTTGGTAATACTTCTATTATCTGTCTTTTGTGATACAGCTACCCTAGTGGGCATGAATCAATATCTCATTATGGGCCCAGCCCATTTTATCAATGAGGAAATTACAGCTCAAAGAGGTGAAGCGATTTGCCCGAGCATACTCATAGACACAAGCAAAGTCAAAATTCCAGCCAGGCCTGTGTTCTTCCCAAACCCACGTTTTTCTAGCAGCAAGCAGCCCTCCAACTGAATGATTTCGTCGGTGCCTGGCACAATACCCACATCCAAGTGGCTCTTAGGATTCATGTGGGTCATGGGACAGTGATGACTGTGGCTGCAGTCTGCCCACCTGAAGCTGACCAGCTGGTCATCACTTGCTCTCCCAGACAGTCGGCAGGCAATGCTCATGACCACCCACTGTGTCCCCAGGTTGGAAATGGAAGGAGATTACAGAAAACACAAAGTTGGACTGAGTCCTAAGTTGTCTCATCCAATGGAAGATGCATTTTTAGTCTTTAGATTTGCAGAAAGGGTAGAAAAGCTGAGCCAGGGAAGTGTGAGGAAAGAAGAGTAGAAAGGAACCCCTGCCAGGAGGCGAAGGAGGATGAAATTCAGAGCCAATTTAAGATCTGCTGCCAATTCTGAGGGGCATGATCAGGAAGGAAAGGGCCAAGTCAGAGGCGGCTTGGACTGCTTTCAGGGGTGGAGTTAGCCAGTAACTGAGAGGCAATCAAGAGGCAGCGTCAGGAGAGGAGTGGACAGCAGGGAGGAAGGATGGGGCTGATGAGTGTAATACCTAACACACACCTTTCCTACAAGGAGCATCTCAGATGGCAGGTGCTGTGCTGAGTGCTCCACATCCATATAAGGTGCCCCATATAAGGTGCCCCATATAAGGTCGTGTTAGCATCTCATTTTGCAGACAGGGAAATAAGGCTGAGAGAGGTGAAATGTCTCCTTGGCCAAGGACATACGGCTGGTGAAACTGTCTAACTGTAACTCCCATTCTCTGAGCCCTTCTGTGAACTGACTGAGTGAACAACTGAAGGATGCTTAAGGGGCAAATGTGCCACCAGGGGTACTGGAAACGGGAACCTGGTTCAATGTCTGCTCTGTGGCGAGTATTTTTGGAGATAGAAAGGCTTTGTGGCTGGGGCTTTTCCTGTAATGGTGTCAGCCTGCCTGGGATTTTCACACTTCAGTTTACAGACTCAGGCACTACTGTGTACTTACTTATTTATTCTTTCTACAGGAAAAAAAAAGTCAATGAATTTTTAATCAAATTGAGCTTGAGTTTTTGACCTATGAATCAGAAACACTTCTGAGATTGGAAGGCAATTCATTTCCATCTGCCCCGAGGTTGGGCCACAGTGAGAGGCTGTCCCGAAGGGTCTGGAGCAGAGAGCCCAGGATTTTAAAAAAAATATTATTTTATTGGTACATTTTAGGTGTACAATATAATGACATTCATCATTGGAAATTTCCACCTTTACGTAATCTCTCTTGGTTCTTATTTTTCCCCCTTCCCCTGCCTTCCCTTCAACCCTTCCATCCCTCCCTATTTACAAAGACTTTGTTTCCATTTTCTTATATTAATTTCATTTCCTTCTTTCCTTTCCCCTACCCCTCCTACTTCCCCTTTGCCCCTTTTCTCCCTGTTTCACATTATCTATTATACCTTTTAGTCCTTATTTACACTTTCAGTATCACACACCAGAGAAACTATTCGGTATTTACACATGTGCGTCCTATTTATTTCACTTAAGAGTATGGCCTCAATATCCATCCATTTAGCTATAAATGTCTCTAATTTCCCATTTTTTATGGCTGAGTAGTACTTCATTTTATAAAAAAACACATTTTCTTTATTCAGTCTCCAGTTGATGGGCATTTGGGCTGCTTCCCAAGTTTTAGCTATTACAAATTGTGCTGCTATGAACATGGGTGCACATATATCACTGTGGTATGAGTCTTTTAATTCTTTGGGGAAGATACCCAGCAGGGGAATAGCAGGGTCAAATGGGACTTCCAGTCCTAGTTCTTTGAGGTATCTCCATACTGATTTCCACAGTGCTTGCACCAGTCTACACTCCCACCAGCAGTGGAGCAGGGTTCCTCTTTCCCCACATCCCCACCAGCATTTGTTGTTGGTTGATTTCATGATAGCAGCCATTCTTTCTGGGGTTGAAGTGGAATCTCAGCATTGTTTTCACTTTTATCTCTCAAATGACCAGCGATGTTGAACATTTTTTCATGTATCTATTTGCTATTTCTACTTCTTTGTGTGAGAAATGTCTGTTCATTTCAGATGCCCATTTTTGGATTGGGTCTTTAAATTTGGGAGGTCTGATTTTTTTAAGCTCTTTATAGATTCTAGATAGTACACCTTTGTCTGAGGAACAGCAGGTGAAGATTTTTTCCCACATTGTGGTTTGTCTCTTCACACTGCTGGTGGTTTCTCTTGCTGTGCAGAAGCTTTTTAATAAGAAGAGATCCCACTTGTTGATTGTTTGTGCTAGTTCACGTGCAACTGAGGTTTTGTTCATAAAATCTTTTCCTACAGTTCTAGCTAACCTCTGTTCCAGCTGATTCAGCATTTCTATTTTAATATTTAGAGCTTTAATCCATTTCGATTTTAGTTTAGTGCATGGTGAGAGATATAGGTCTAGTTTTAGTCTTTGGCAAGTTGAAACCCAATTTCTCTAGGACCATTTATTAAAGAGGCTATCTTTCCTCCAGTGAGGGTGTTTGGCTCCTTTGTCAAGGATGAGATGGCTGAGTGTGTCTGAGTTGTTTCTACATCTTCTAATCTGTTCCACTGGTCCTCAAGTCAGTTTCTTTGCCAACACCATGCTGTTTTTATCACAGTTGCTTTCTACTATAGTTTCAGGTTGGAGATTGTGACACCCCCTACCATGTCTCTGTTACCTAGAATTGCTTTTGCTATTCTGGGTCTCTTCTTGTTCCAAATGAATTTTTGGATTGTTTTCTCAAGGTCCGTGATGTATGTTGCTGGGATTTCAATTGGGATTGCATTGAATCTATATAGCAGTTTTGGAAGTATGGCCATTTTCACTATATCGATTCTTCCTACCCAGGTGCAGGGGATGTCTTTCCATTTTCTGATATCCTCTTTAATCAGAGAGCCCAGATTAATCCCACCTGCCTGGGCAGCATCCCCAGGCTCTCTGAGGAATTGTGTCTCCCAGGACACAGGAGCTGGTGGAGGTAACATCCAGCTGTGTGAACAGGATCTAGACCAGGAAATAGCAAATTTATTTTGTAAATGACCTGACAATTTTAGGCTTTGCAGGACACTTGTGGTGTCTTTTACACATTCCTTGCTTTTTTCTTTTCCTTCCCCTGCTTCTTCTCGTTCTTCTTCCAGAAACATTAAAAAAAAATTCCTAGCTCACAGGCTACCCCAAATCAGACTATGGGGCAGATTTGCTTGCATGCTGTGGTTCCAGGCTGGCCTTGAACTCACTATGTAGCCTAGGCTGACCTCAAACTCACAGTGATCCTCCTGCCTCAGCCTCCTGGGTGCTGGGATTACAGGCATGCACCACCACACCCGGCAACCTCTGGACTTGATGTCTCTTAGAAATTAGCTTGGATAAATGCTTCAATTCTTGGAGATTTATATGATTTGTTTATTTATTTATTTGGTACTGGGAATGGAACTTGGGACCTTGTGCTTTTGAGGCAGGCGGTGGAACCACTGAGCTAAATTCCTGGCCCCATATGATATATTTATTGAGTGCTGACTGTGTGTGTGGTTCCATACCAGTGGCAATGGAAAGAACACAAAGATGAATCAAGACGCTGATGTCTGGCTGCTATGGGTGTGATGTGAGGAATCAGCCACAGACCTGGAGCCAGAAGACCTGGGTAGCAAGCCCACTTCAGTCCCTGAGGAGCCTGCAGAGCCACAACTGTCAAGTAGGGACAAGAATGCACTCTTTGTAGGATTAAATAAGCTCAGAAGTAAAAGGATTTGGAAAAGCACTATATAACAGGAGCTATATTTAGAGCATTGAGGCAACAATTGTTATGAAGTGTTGATTGACAATATAAAGACTTTATAAAGCTGTGGTGCCAGAGATGTCACAGGTTAGGAGAGAAAAGAAGTTGACTGAGATGCTGTCACATGGGACTTACTCCAGATATTTTCATTGTGTTAGCTTGTGATTGATGTAGTGTATCAGGGTTGAGTTTGGTTGATTCCTATAGGAAACCCAAATAGTGGCCTAAACAAGATTTCTCTCTCTCTCTCTTTCTCTCTCTCTCTCTCCTCTCTCTCCCTCTCTTTCTCTCTGTCTCTCTCTCCCTCCCTCCATCCCCTCCCTCCCTCTGTGAAAGTAGGCAGTCCAGAACTCATAGGGGATCCCCACAGCATGTCAAGAGCCCAGGATATTTCCATCTTTGCTCCATCATCCTTACAAGTAGCTCCCTTTAAACAAAATCATCTCGTGGTCCAAAATGGCTGCTAGACCTCCAGCCACCATATCTATATTCCAGGCATATGAAAGGAGGAAGGAGTGAGGAAGAAAGGTGCTAATGGACATATAGTAGCAGTATTTCAAGGATGTTTACTGGAAGCTGGCTCCAAGTACTGCTCTTTATATCTCATTTGCCATTCTTGGCAACAAGAGGCTGTGAAAATCAGTCTTTTTTCTTGATGGCTATATGCCCAGGTAAAATTAAGAGGTTTTGTTTTAAAGAAGAGAATGAACCCTGCCAGAAGCAACTAGCTAGGGCGATTCAGGGGGGCAAAATCACAGAAAGGACAAGTTTTGACCAAAGTGAGACTCTGCCTGGCCTTGAAGAAATGGGCCATATTTTAAGTGCTGGATCTGGGGAGAGAATGAGAGCAGAGGGGAATGCAGCCATAGGGAGGGAGAGAGAGAGTGGACAAACTCTTCTAGCCTGGAGCATACCCATGAGGAGTTTTGAGAATGAAACTTCTTCCAAAGAAGATAGCAAAGGGGCTGGGGATTTAGCTCAGTCGTTCCATTACCTGCCTCGAAAACGTAAGGTCCCCAGTTCGATCCCCGGTGTGAAAAAAAAAAAAGATAGCAAAAATAACACTGTGACTAGCTGGGGACCCCAGCACCTCGAGAGGTACACTGCTTCTTGATCACTCTGGGACTCCTAGATGGTCCCCCTCCCCCTTCCTCTTCCGCTATTCCACTGTTACGGCCCCCATCTGCCAGGGCTGCCACACCACAGGAGGTAGCGCTCAGGTCTCAAGTTGCCTCCTCAATCCAGCTCATGCCTCTCTGCCTTCCCCTGCCTCTACCTCATCCTTGAAGAAATGTAGCATCTTTGCCCTCCTAAACTCTGCTGGTATGCACTGCTCCCTGTTCAATGCTCTCCCTTCTTCCAGCATCTGACCTAGGCCACTGCAGTTGGCCTTGACTTTAGACTTTCCTGACGTGAGTTGGGCCATCTCTGTGTTCTCCTAACCCTGGGGGTCACAGGTTCATTTCTCCCAAGAGATCCCATTCCAAATTCCATAGTGGTATCTGGCCTGCATCCTGACTGGCTTGGAAGGGAAGAGACGAGAGGATTCAGAGTCGCCCCAGCCCTTACTAGGATGAGCTGAGAAGTCCGAAACTCCTGGCATCTCTGATTGCCTCGATCCACCTGCAGCCCTTCTCTCCTCACTGGCCCAGGTGCAATGGGGTAGGGCTGTGGGGCCAGGGTGGGGCCAGGCTACCTCCATGGTCTGGTTCACCCTTCAGGATCTGAAGTTCTCAGCATCGAGACCTCAGCAGGGTAGGTCCCTGAGGAACATCCTACTCATTTTATTGCATTTATTGATTGTGTCATCAACCCTGACACTGTTACAGGTGAAGAAACTGTCAGCAGAAGGGCAGGTGAGGACTGGACTTTCCTGGAAGAAGCAGTCCTGAGAAATGAGGCCAGGAGGAAGAGGCAAGTCCAGAGTAGGGAGGCCTTAGTGCCAGGCTAAGAAGTATGGATCTTCTCTGCACACAGGAGCCAATGAAGGGTTACGTTGTGATGTGGTCTCCAGTGCGCTTTTGAAAACTTGGTCTCAAAGCAGAGCTGGAACGGACTGGAGAGGGGCAGATGTCTTCCCATTACAGCATGAATCCTGCTGGGGGGATGAGAAACGAGGGGGAGAAGGTAAAAGGGGAGAGGTAAGGGGGAAAGAAAGGAGCAGAGGGAATACAGAAGGTGGGGTGAGCATTAGGTCACTCAATTTGCCCATTTCATAGCCAAGAGGACTGAGGCACAAGCAGATTACCTTGCTCAGAGTTATACAGATGGGATGAGGCGGAGCTGGGGCTCAAATCTAGTGCGTTTCTTCTGTGTCAAACACATGCAGGAAAAGTAATAGATCCACACAGGAATGGTGCCTCTGGGTAGCAGTGTCGAGTTGGGAAGATGGATAAGGACTGTCTCCAGGGTCGGACTCCCTAGCTCTATCATGAGCCAGCTGTGTGAACCTTGGGTGAGTTTCTTCAGCTCTTTGTGCTTTAGCTCCTTCCTCTGTAGAAAGGCAGCCTGGCCCCCTGGCTTGCAGGAGGTGCACATGAGATACAGTAGCAGCCTGGCCCAACTCTGCCACTCCTCTTCCATACTGAGGGGCTGGGACAGGGCCGATAGTCTGGGAAGGAGCACCTTGAGGAGAAGTGGCAGGGCCCCAGGACACTGTTAGAGCCTCCTTTCTGTGCCGACACCCCCTGTATACCTGGTACCTCATCTCTGCTTCCTTTCCTCGGTCTCCCATCTTCCTCTTCCTCTTTGCTCCACTGGTTTTTTTCCCCCTCCTTTCTTCCCCGCTGTGTCTTGCACAGTTCCATTGAGAGTCCTGTGAGCTAGAGACTTTGCTGATGCCTCCTCATCTCCTCCTTGTGACTTCTGGTCAAGAACCAACCTTCCAAATTGCTTTGACCTCCACTGAGGAGCGCGTTCCAGAAATGCCAGCCATTCCCCAGTTCTGCTAAAGGATGTGGCTGGAACATCTGGCTTTTCCTGGGAGGAGAGGCTTCTGCAGAAAAATGCCTTCCCCCTCCTCACTGCTGCTTCTCTTCAGCCTCAGTCCACATGATCTCCTTTTTATTAAAAGAACAGAGAGAGAGAGAGAGAGAGATTAGAAATATTACAACCTGAGGGCAGGGGGCCGGGCTGCGGGCGGCGGTCCAGCGGCGGGGCCCGGGGAGCGCCCAAGATGGCGGCGGGTGGCGCGGAGGGTGGCTCAGGCCCCGGCGCGGCCATGGGGAACTGCGCGGAGATCAAGTCCCAGCTCCGCACCCGCGAGGGCTTCTACAAGCTGCTCCCCGGCGACAGCGTCTCTCGCAGGTCGGGGCCGGCCTCTGCCCAGACCCCGGCGCCGCCCCAGCCGCAGCCCCGGCCCGGCCCTGCCTCTGCCTCTGGCCCGGGCGCGGCGTGGTCCCCGCCGCCCTCAGGCCCGGGCCCGCGCTGCCAGCCGTGCGCCTCAGCCTCGTGCGCCTCGGGGAGCCGCCCGCCACGCCCGCGGGACTGGGCGCAGGAGGAGACCGCGTCTGCTTCAACCTGGGCCGCGAGCTTTATTTCTGCCCCGGCTGCTGATCTCAACAAGCCCATCGACAAGCGGATCTACAAGGGCACCCAGCCCACCTGCCACGACTTCAACCAGTTCACTGCTGCCACGGAGACCTTCTCCCTGCTGGTGGGCTTCTCGGCCGGCCAGGTGCGATACCTGGACCTCATCAAGAAGGACACCAGCAAGCTGTTCAATGAGGAGCGGCTGATTGACAAGACCAAGGTGACATATCTCAAGTGGCTGCCGGAATCTGAGAGCCTGTTCCTGGCTTCCCACGCTAGCGGCCACCTGTCCTTGTACAATGTCAGCCACCCGTGGGCCTCAGCCCCAGCTCAGTACAGCCTGCTGAAGCAGGACGAGGGCTTTGCTGTCTACGCCGCCAAGAGCGAAGCGCCCCGCAACCCGCTGGCCAAGTGGGCGGTGGGCGAAGGGCCCCTCATCGAGTTTGCCTTCTCGCCCGACGGCCGCCACCTGGCCTGTGTCAGCCTGCGTGTCTTCCACTTCGACTCTATGCTGCTGCCGGGGCTCGTGAAGAGCTACTTTGGGGGCCCGCTCTGCGTGTGCTGGAGCCTCGACAGCCGCTATGTAGTGACAGGAGGCGAGGACGACCTGGTCACTGTGTGGTCCTTCACTGAGGGCCGCGTGGTGGCTCGAGGCCACGGTCACAAATCCCGGGTCAACGCTGTGGCTTTTGACCCCTATACCACGCGGGCGGAAGAGGCGACAGCGGGCAGTGGTGATGGGGCTGGGAGCGGCGAGGAGGAGGAGAAGCCTGAGGCCGCTGGCCCGGGCGCAGGCGGGGGTGCCCCGCTCTCCCCGCTGCCCAAGGCCGGCTCCATCACTTACCGCTTCGGTTCAGCGGGTCAGGACACGCAGTTCTGCCTGTGGGACCTCACGGAAGACGTGCTTTCCCCACACCCGGCCCCGACCCGCACACGCACTCTTCCTAGCACCCCAGGTGCCATGCCGCCAGTCACTGGCAGCTCAAGGGGTCCGGAGCCTGGCCCGGGCCCCCTGCCCCGCTCCCTGTCCCGCTCTAACAGCCTCCCGCACCCAGCAGGCGGTGGCAAGGCTGGCGGCCCAGGGGCTGCAGCCGGGCACGCCGTTCAGCATTGGCCGCTTCACCACCCTTGCCCTGCGGGAGCGGCGGGACCGGGGCCCGAGAAGGAGCACAAGTGCTACCATAGCTTGGGCAACATCAGCCGAGGCGGCAGTGGGGGCAGCGGTGGCGACAAGCCCAGCGGCCCTGCCCCCCGCAGCCGCCTGGACCCTGCCAAGGTGCTGGGCACCGCGCTGTGCCCACGCATCCACGAGGTGCCGCTGCTGGAGCCCCTGGTGTGCAAGAAGATCGCCCAGGAGCGCCTGACGGTGCTGTTGTTCCTGGAGGACTGCATCATCACCGCCTGCCAGGAGGGCCTCATCTGTACCTGGGCCCGGCCCGGCAAGGCAGGCATCTCCTCCCAGCCAGGCAACTCCCCGAGTGGCACAGTGGTGTGAAGCCGAGGATGTTGGGGTCCTCCACCCCATGCTCCCAGCCTCCTAGCCATAACCCTCCCTGCTGACCTCACGGATCAACGAAGTAACAAGACTAACCACGAAGGAAGGACTGCTCTGGTCTTCCGGCCTGCGCAAATATCGGGGGTCCCCCCAAACTGGCCCAGACATGGGGGATGTAGCGGCCCCTGTGACCTCAGCCCTGTATGCACCCATTGCCAAGTACTGTGATCCTTCCTCTGAAACATCAGTGTTAACCCACATCCCTGTCCCCAGCATGCGATTGGTCATTGCTTGGGAGAAGCTCCCTGCCACCAGAGCCCCAGCTCTGCATTGCGCCCCTGAGGTGAGGGCAGAGCAGGGAGTGGCCCCCCTCTGAGCCCCTGCTGCATCCCACCCCTTGCTGTCCTCTGTGCTTTTGAAGAGTGTTAAGTTAAGGAAGTCCCCAGGGCCCTCCTTGTCCCCCAGAGCCTCTTATTTATACTAAAGTTCCCTGTTTGCAAAAAAAAAAAAAAAAAAGAAATATTACAAGCTGCCCCCTGGTCTCAAAGAAAGTAATCAGGACAGAGATGAGGGAGAACTGGGCACTGTGGTTATTACACCTATTAGTGG